CACGCTTCGTCAGATTTTTGTAGTGTTGGTTATGCAAACTGCGGGAGGCATAAACATGCGGTGCTTAGAAGTATTTTACTTTTCAAGTCCAAACTGTATTCGCAACTCGTACTGTAGTGTTAGATACCAGTAAGATATAAGCCTACTTTTGTGCGGCTGTTGCTCGATTCAATGGGACGAAGGAAGGAAAACGAAGACAAAATTTAGCTTCAGAGCCTTGTTTACATTTCTCCCTTTGGTTCGTTGGCCGCCTGACCTTTCGCAAACGACAAGAAGGGTGAGTGCCTCACGCACGGCTCTTTGGATGCATCATTTTTCTCATCTACGCTTTTTCTTGAATGCGTTCAGTCGAAGAAGACACACAGTCTACAGTCGTGTTAGCCTCTATGGAGTGCGATTATATCTTAGGGAGTAGGTCGAAGACAACTACGCTTCCCTAGAAAATGCGTGCGAATACCAGTCTCGGCTTTGAGATAAATTGTGATGGAATGTTGCGCGGACTGGTCATCTATCTTCATTGGTAGCCTTCTTATGAAACGCCCTACCGATGCATCCGCCGCGAGGTGCTGTGGTTAAAAGGCATAGCGGTCTGCATTCCGGAGACCCGCGCTTATTTAGAGTGTTCCTGGATGTCCACTGGCTAAGATCGTCACTGCTGAAGAAAGTGATGGCCTGCTCTAAAACCATGCTAGTGCTTGCTAAGGAGCTTGGCGCATATGCCCACCTTTGTCCGCGTGTACAGAGAGGGAGCCAAGAACAAAACGTTTTTTGCAAATGCGCCGATAATGTTTAAGAAAGCTGAGCATCGTTGTAGTGCACACGCACTAGCATAAGGCTTGCTGGTGACCTATAGAGGATAGCTAGCTAGCGACCTACAAGAGGTCGCAACACTGGAGGAGAACAGGACCCTCTTACTAGGATCAAAGTAACACAATTTGCCTGCGAATTAACGTACATACACCAGAGGTGCCTGTGAATGCGTGGCGCCTGGGGCTGGCGATAGCGCCGGCACCAGTGCAGGGCCCCTCCCCACAGGGCCTAGGAGGCGAGACCCCCGAAGGGGGGGATATCAAGAAAACAGACTTTGGAAAACTGAAACTAACTATATTTCGTTATATTTGGGCTACTGTTTCAAGGAAATGGGCCAACGTTAGGTGCTGATCATAGGCCCGTGCTGGAGGGGGCAGGTAGCAGCGTAGTCGCAGCAGTAGGCCCTGTGCACTACAGTTGTGGCCTTTGGTGTTGGTGCACGTTCGTGTCAAATGTGCCATTGCTTGTGAACGGACGGAAAAACTCGCGCCAAAGGAACGTTCGTTAGGAGCATAGCATAACGCCATGTCTCTGTTTCGCAGAAAGGCTGCCAGATGTTCTTTTCTGCAGCTATGAGTGAAGAACAGCCTGCATGATTCTTGCATGTACACAAAAAGGCCCACTTTGCCTGCGCAAGCTCCTGGAAAGGCTTAACGCAGGCTATGTGGTAGGCTGGTACACATTTGCAAAGGCTCACTAACTAGGAGAGGTATAGAGGCGGTGCGAGTAGTGGAGTTACTTCTAGTTCGTCCATGTTATATGATAGCCTAATAGATACTTCTTAAGGCGCGCGAAGTGAGCGTTCCGCTGATACCATGGACCCTATACTTGTCTTCTTCAGTGGTACTCCAAGCACATCCTGGTGGGTAAGACTACAAATATCCAGCTTGTGCGTTCGTCTGAATGAAAAGTCGGTGACTCCCCAGCAACGGCGCCTCCCCGGTAATCAAGTTTAACTGCGAACGCTTCGCAGTTAATCTTGGAGTCTTCCTGCGGTGCTAATCTGAACCAAGTCAACTGGCTGTTTCGAATGTCTAAATGCCACAAAAATGCAGCGGCTTTGTTGGGTCACAGGGAAACACACAGCGCCCAACTTCAGTTCGAACGCAGGTTTTGACAGCGAGTGATAGAGAGCGTCTCAGACGCACGTGTCTAGCTAGTGGCCCTCCTGGCGCATCTTCCGCAGTAGCGACTCGAGAAGAGTGCGATAATTTTTACATGAGGACACCAAACATCCCAACATACTGGATATTTTCCTCGTTCCTTCTGTCGCTACGTCTCGCCAAATTGTGCCTGCTCATTCTTCACTGATATGCTAATCTGCTTCGCCGGACAATGCCTTCAGCTTCTGAATATGAAGGAAATACACAGGGAGAAGAATGGGCTGTGCGCGTCCAGCCCCTGGTCACGCTACAAAGCGCTGTGCCGAAGAGCGCGGAGATTAAGCTATTTGGAGGCTTCTGTCGAGTTCAGGGGATCAAAAATCTAACAGCGCACAGGATTTCCTCTGGCAAGGCAGCGCGCTGTGACGAAGTTCTTAACCTGGCTGTTCAGCTTGCGGCAAATTCGGATAACCACTAGGCCTCCATAGATAGTGAGCTAAGCAGCCACTAGATCTCCGGAGGCAGCAAGTTAATGAGTGAAGAAATTCGCGGGCTAGAGGTACACTGTGCGTTCAGTTACGCTTCAAGGCGAAGAACTCAGGCGTCCCGCTGCGCCAAAGCGGGCGCCCAGTGCAGGTGAAGGCTCTTGGAGGGAGCGAAAACAGTAACAAATCCTTTTTCCGAAGTGTTGAATGCTTTTTCTGTGCAAATGTTTGTGTTTTCAAGACGGGTTTGCATCACGAGTTTGCACTTCCTGCCTATGAGTGAACTGAGGCATTCCAAGTTGCTTCTCCTTCTCCCTGAGAGTTGCAAGGTCTCGCGATTTGGAGGCAGCGAATAAGCAGCCGGCCAGCAGTCAGCAGAAACTGTGCTAAGAGCCGCAGACAGAAAGAAACTTTCATCAGTTTTGAAAGGCGGGAATGTGCAGTTTTGCGCTTGCTGATAGACAATTAGTAAGCTTCGTGATAGGCCTGGTGTGAGATAGTTTACGCCTCCCAGCCTGGCCCTGAGGCCCAGATCCACGCTTGCGAGATAAATACAAAAAATAATATTGGGTTTCACCTAAGAGCCTCCTTGGTTCCTCTCAGAAGAAAGTGCGCAGGTATTTCCTGAGCCGCTTCATCGGTCATCCAGTGAAAGCGGCAGCTGCGGTGATGCAACACAAACTAGAGATAGCCATTTCAGTGTAAATATATTTGAACTATTTAAATGCACAATTTAAAAAATCAAATTGGGTTGGGAAATTGCGATCACACGGGACTTGGTGGTGACCACCTAGCCGAACAGAATGCCCGCTGGAGCCACTGAGTGGCGATTTGCGGGTTCAAGATTATGATTGAACAAGACTTGGTTGAAAGGAAATAAGGGACTTAATGAATAAAAAGTCATATTCTGTTTCCTTAGCTGGAGCTTAGCAAGCAGGAGGCTCTTTACAACGCCACTGCCATTAAAAATGCCAGTGGGAAGCCCTAGTCTTTGCAAACTCCGGCTACAAACGTTCAAATTCATCTTTGGCAGTTTGGTCATCTCGGCTCCAGCTAGCGCTTTGCTGAAAGAAAACCCTGCGGCACTGCAGCACAGGAAGGCAGCTACTTCTGCTGTTGCAGCAAAAGTAACTATTAGCTGCTCTAAATTCCTTAGCGGATGCATGCGCAAGCAGCACTTTGGCTGCATGCAATTTGACCGCCGCGAGCCCCCAGCCCCCCGCTGTGCCCGCAGCTGATGCTGCATGCATCAGTGCCTACAAAGAAAACTCTGGCTACGCTGCAGTAAGACCTTGAGGCCTCTAGATATCAATTACTTAGAGGCCTTCAGGGATACTGAAAAGTCCTAAATATTATTTAGAAGTCTGGGAGAGTATTGGGACAGTTTAGAGAAGCTCGCTGGGCTCGGACATAGTCCTGCAACGGCTGAATACATTGTCTAGCACTAACCTTGCCGCTGCTGCTGCTGCTGCTCTTGCTGCTGCTGCAGTTGATGCTTCATTTGAGCCGTAGAAGAGCCTAGTGGCTGTCTCATGGCTCTGCTGCAGTTGCAAAAGAGGGGAATTTTGATTAAGGTGGGATTTGTTGAGGGCTCAACCAGCGGTGTTTGCTGCTGAGCCAGTGCTGCTGCAGCAGCACGAGGCTTTCAATTAGGAACTTTGCCAGATTTTTGGAGGTTCCTTTTGTTTTTAATTTACATTTGGTTAATTTAATGGATTTTAAAGCGAAAAAAATGAGAAAGAGGTTGGCAACCGGTGCAGAAGACACCCACTCACAACAACCATATGGTGGCAGCGGTGGGGTGGTAATGAACACACTATGGAACTTCGGGATAAAAAGCACGTTGAAATTCTCCCAATTACCTTTTAATCATGAAGACATGATTTATGCATTCTTATTGTGTCAAAATTATGCAGAAAGAAACCCAAATAGGTTCATTTCACTGCCAAAATCGACCTGCTGGGGCTGCTGGCGGCTGCAGCCCCAGGGTGGACTGGTCCAAGGGAGAGCCTCAGCTATTTTGGTGGAAAAGGACGAAAAATAAAAACATAATTGAATGAAATCTGGCTTTTTGAGGTGTATATAGACCACAATGATCAGCTAAACCGAGGCAACACCCACCCCGCATGACCAGAACCTTTTGTAGGCACTGACACAAGCAGCAGCAGCAGCAGCAACAGCAGCAGCAGCAGCAGCAGGCTTGTCTTCTCAGCATCAGCAGAGGCCTTAGAAGTGCGATCCAGGAGCTGCTGCTGTGCTCGGATAATGGTACTTATGAGCCGGCTGAGCACCTCGCGCTGCTGCTCCTGCTGCTGCTGCTGCAGTTTGTTTGCTGCTGAAAGGATGTGAGGCAGCCCCAGGTGACTTCGCGCGACAGCAAGTGTCTGTACACATGAGACAATGCGACTTGCGAGGAGCCAAACCCTAAACCCTAAACCCTAAACCCTAGAACCTAGGCTACAGCGAATGCGGCTGCTGGAGCCCCCCGAGCCACCTACACCACGAGCTGTTGCTGCTGCTGCTGCTACACCGGAAGCAGCAGCACGGGCAGGGTGAGCTGGAGCAGCAACAGCAGCAGCAGCAAGCAGCAGCAGCAGCAGCAATGTCCACAGCGTGCGGCCCTCGTGCTGTTGAAAGCCAGTTTACCTGCGCGCCGCTGCTCACCATGGCGGCAGTAGCAGCAGAAGCAGCAGAACTGCAGCAGCAGCAGAAAGAAGAAAAGCAGCAGCAGCAGCAGGAGACGCAAAAGCAGCAGCAGGAGTGCCAGCGAGCCATGGAGCAGCCGCAGCAGCAGGAGCCGCAGCTGAGCGGGCAGCAGCAGCAGGGGCAGCAAAATGTGCAGCCGCCTCCACAGCAGCAGCAGCAGCGTGCACAGCCGCCGCCGCAGCAGCAGCAGCAGCTGCAGCAGCAGCAGCAGCAGCTGAGTGGCGTGATGACTTGGAATGTGGCTGGCTGGAGATCTGCTGCTGCTGCTGTCAGCAAAGACTGGGGCTCTATAGAAGCCTTTCTGCAGCGCATGCACTGCGACTTGGTGTGTCTGCAGGTGAGCGGCAAATTCAAATAATAAATAAATAAATAAATAAATAAATATAAAATTGAATTTATTAAAATGTTCGAGTCGGCAAATGGTGGCTAGCTAATCTGTTCGAGAAAGACCGAAGATTCCGCGCAGCGGGACTCCCCCAGCTGCTGCTGCTGCTGCTGCTGGTGCTGTTGCTGTTTATGGAGAGGTACTGCTTCTCCTGCTGCTGCTGCTGCTTCCCCTGTTGCTGCTCTTGCCGGTACTAGACGCGACACTGTTGCTGCTGTTGTTGCTGCTGCTGTTGCTGCTGCTGCGACAGTTGCTAGATGTCGTACACTTGCTGCAGCAGCAGCAGCTGCTCTTGTGGCTGCGTCTGTTGCTGCTGCTGCTTCACTTGCCACTCCTGGAGCTTCTTCAGTCGCTGCTGCTGCTCCGGCTGCGAACACTGCTGCTGCTGCTGCTGCTGCCTCCCCGCCCCACCGCTGCTGCTACTGCTGCTGCTGCTGCTGCTGCTGCAGGAAGCTAAGACAGGCGCTGAGACAGTCCGCGCCAACCCCAGGGGCACAGGAGCAACACTAAAGGGTTGGGACACTTTTTGGAGTTGCTGCTCTCCAGAGGCCCGCAGGGGGCTCATGGGTGATTTGCTGCTGCTGCTGCTGCTGCTGCAACTGCTGCTGCTGCTCTTGCGGTTGCTGCTGCTGAGGCTGCTGCTGGTGGGCTGCTGCTGCGGTTTTTGCGGTCGCTGCTGCTGCTGCTGCTGCGCGTTTTTTTGCGCACGGGTGGCAAAGAGGCGCGGCTGCTGCTGTTGCTAAGGTTGCTGCTTCTTTGGTTGTTGCTGCTGCTGCGCACTTTGCCGATTCTGACAGAGCCGCGCTGCTGCTGCTGCTGCTGCAGGCTACAGCGGAGTCACAACAATTGTCCGTCAGGGCTGCACAATACGGGCGGACTCCCAGCCCTTTAGTCGGTTCATATCCCTTGAAGACTCAGCAGCAGCAGCAGCAGCAGCAGCGGCAG